CCCCAAAACCCCAAAACCCCAAAACCCCAGCTTAAGTCAAATTTTAGAATCGGAATTACTAGTTAAATTATTAGAATCCCTTGGATTTAGCCTGTAGGTGAGAGCGGATTTGGGAAGAGGGAGTTTAGGGGGATATGGAGAGGAAATGAGATGTGGGGTAAGGTGGGCGGGTTGGGAACAGGAGTGGGGATGGGTGGATATGAGAAGGGTTTTTGACACTTTTTGGGGATGGGTGTTTAGGTATGTGGAATGTTTTGGAGAGGAGGTAGTGGTTTAGAGTTTAGAAGAATGTGGAGTGTTAGAAAAGATGACGACACAAAGGAAGAGATTATAGAAAAGTTGGAAAAGTTAGATGTTTCTCAAAAGGCAGCAGTATTGAAAAGGGTAGAATTATTGAAAAAGGATGCATTATTGTATAATTTTAAGGCTTGATGAATGAGTAACTCTTCTCAAACGTGGGAAAATTCCAAATTTTATTATATAAGAATCGACAAAATCAGAACAAAATATTTAGACGAAACTCTCCAGTTGTTTTTAAAGAATACAAGGCAAGCTGAGCTTGAGTTTGCAGATACTTGAACAGTATTTAGAATGGCTCAAACAAAAATTACTTTAATGAAGACAATACATCGCTTCTGAATACTGAAAATTACTGGAATATCTCTTACTTCAAAGCAATTCATTAAGCTTATTATGAGTGGAACCTTTCTTGAAACACTTGTCCTTTGAGATAGTGAGATTATAGGACCTAAACTCACTTTTGCTTGCCCAAGAAGCTTACCATTGCAAGAATTTGTGATGTTTGAGAGAGAAATAAACCCAACAAGATATGCCAGAAATATTGATTATTACAGGACAATTTTAGAGAACCTAGATCAGTGAAAGTTTACTGATGCATTAGACTACATTCTTTTCGAAAATACTGACCTCCAAGCTCCCGAATCCCTAGCACTTGAACAAACAATCAGTGGTCTGAAAGTTAAATTTATCACCAAATAATATACAAATTAGGAATATTCAACTTATAACACATTCCCAGGGGTTTTGGGGTTTTGGGGTTTTGGGG